CTCTGCAACTTCTGCAGGTGTCACAGATAGGGAGCCTGAGCCCCTGCATCTTCTGCACCTGTCGCAGTTCGGGAGCCTGGAAGCTGCCACTGCCCAGCCCGGATGGAGCAAGTGTAGTTGGTAGGGGGGGGGGTGGCTAGTAGTAGTAGTAGTAGTAGTAGTAGTAGTAGTAGTAGTAGTAGTGGTAGAGGTAGAGGTAGTGGTAGTAGCAGTAGCATTAGTAGCATTATTAGCATTAACATTGGTAGTAGTCGTCGTCGTAGTAGAAGTTGTAGCAGCAGCAGCGGCAGTGGTAGCACCAGCAGTCGTCGGTGCAGTAGTAGTAACAGCAGCAGCCAGAGCATTCCGTAGATGGTACTTTGTAAGTTAATACTTCCAATTCTTGTGACTGCCAGGCCACACGGAGTGCTGCATTTCCAGGCGGGCATGAGTGGGGTGTAGGGTGAACTGGAGAACCCCCGGATTCCTTTCACTGTTGCCAAATTCCCTTCTCCAGGATCCAGAAGATGGCTGAATAGGGTTCTTCCTTCGATCCTGTGCAGCCCTCGAATTTGCATAGCTTGTCCAAGTAGGTGCCTTTCAGGCAAAGTTGAGAATCCCAAGTTCATCGCGTAAGGGGGCTATCCGAATTTCTGGAAGCTCTGGATTGCGTGGATCGCGCTTCGCTGCAGCGAATCCATCCCAGACAGTTGGCTGGAAGCCAGTTTGCCAAACAAGAAGCTCACCGGCAGCCCAACAATGCTGCGGACTAGATTCGGTATTCGGCGTATTCGATGGCCTGGAATTCGACCACCGCACCGATGGCTGGTTGTGATGGACTCGTCAACCTTCCAGCACATCTACGAGCATCCAAGCGACATCTCTTCAATCTATGGTGCTGATCCGCTCGCCAAGATTAGCGAGAAAAGGCACGGGATGCTTCTGGAGTCCTTTACTCGCAGTGCACTGGAGGGCATGCACCCCGAATTGTGCTCGGAAGATGCAGTCTCTTCGCTAACATGTGGCGACGGCAGCAGCAGTCAGCGTGGTTCCGCAGGATGGGATTTCTCTCTGGGGGGCAAGCGTGTCGAGCTGAAGACGGCAATGCTTTGTTTCGACTTCAGAAGACAGTGCTGGTCAACCACTTTTCAACATGTTAAGTTGGGGCGAGGTGGACGCTGGCAAGAGCAACCCTTTGATGATCTCTATCTTCTGATATATACCCCAGAAGAATTTTACCTTATAAAACATGACTTGGAAACAGGCGTCTCTACGGCAGGGATCCGGACAAAAAGCGAAGGGCTCGTGATACGTATTGTGGGGCAATCTGGACAGACCTGCTGGAAGGAGGCTACGGACACCATTGTGAACAAACTGACCAAGCGGGGGGCATGCGAATTGGTTTGCAGGATTGTGCAGACCCACCCGGCAGTCTCAGCATTGTACAATGAGTGGCGGCAACAAGCCTTGTCTTCACATGACAGCGCGTACGAGGGCGTGCCGCTGAACAGTCTCAAAACCGGTATTCGTGCAAAGCGAGTTCAGCAGATAGCGCTTGAGTTTGACAAGATGCAGAACCCAGGCGGCATTTTTACGAGTGCAGAGGGCGAGCTGGCTTCGCATGGCAGGAGGACGCGAGGGTCGCGCAATGCTGCCGTAGACTGGATCAGGAACGGGGTTAGGGTGGAGTTAAAGTATGCCAAAGTGTGCTTTCGTCCCAGCCGGAATGCATGGTTTTGCGAGTTCTGCAACATCAAGGAGGAGCCGCTGGATGCTTCCAACAGAGTCTACTTCGACGAGCTCTGGCTTGCGATGTACAGCCCATGCAGCTTGGACATCTTCAAGCACCCTGGGTATCGCTCACAGCTCTCTTCTCGTGGAGGGCGCACTGTGGGGGAGGGCAAGAATCTGATGGTCAAAGGAGAGCAGCATGATACCTGCGTGGAGAGTGCTGTCCGAAGCATGAAGGTCAAGCTTGAAGCATCGCAGGCCGAGCCTCTTCTCACACTTCGCTGGACCACCTGACCTGACAAAACTATCGCGATGCTATTCCAACTATAAGTGCGCTTGCATTCGTGGTGCGTTCAGGGCTCAAAGATGCAGAGGGTTTGCGATGCCGATGCTCCTGCTCAAGGCATTGAAGCTTCTGCCGTGGCAGCATATGTCGTGGCCCCGGAGTCCCAGAGTTGAGCGCATTGGGGGAAGAGCGCATGAGTTGATGAGTTGTCAGGCTAGTGGCCACTCTGCTTCGGCGCACATCCGTAAACCGTTTAAGCCTTAGTAATATAAGGCCGATACCGCTTTTTGCCCAGGCCTTTCGGCGGGGGAGTGAGTACACAACTTCAACAAGCTCTTTGAAGCCCGATCGTCTCAGGTGACTCAGAGAACTGGTGGCTCCAAAGGCGGTCGGGGTTAAGCAGGTCTAGCAAGATCAAACGGGTTTATGGCGTATTCGGGCTTATAGGGTTTTTACAGGGGATGCATGTCGCATGTTGCATCCTTGTTGCTGTGAGCTGTTGGGGAATGCTCGCTCCCGTCACACATCGGCCTCGGCTTCACTAGCGTGACCAAGAGCAGCTTCAGGAAATCTAAGTCGGCTTAGGCCCACAAAGTACGCAGACGTCTGGACTGTCGGATCATAAGGGGTGTTCGGCGGATTATTTTGAAGGATACTCTTGACGATTCACTCACCAGAAAAGGCCTTACAGGTGCTAGTTTCAAACCGCACCGAGTGTCGGATGGAACACTGTGACCGGGACATGTCCTTTTGCGGCCTTGGCTCAGTAAATCGCCTCAGCAGCGGAGTCTTCGGGTGAGTTAGGCCAACCAGACCTAAAGCAGGTGCGCCACCCAGCGGCGGACCTTTGGTGTTCACGCAGGGCGCCCAGTCTGTCCGTCTTCAATGCGCAAGATTCGTCACAAGATCCTTTGGATGCTGTGCCTGGGATTTACTGAGGTTTGCGCTTTGGGCTTCAGGATTTGGGGTTAGGTTAAGTACGGTCGCGATAGCAGCAATTACACGCATGACGATGGCGGCGGAGGCCAATGACGCGCCGCGTCGTGCGGCATGCCGAGGAGGAGAAGACCCTCCTGGGCCACCAGGCGACCTCGCCCAGCATTTTGCTGCCTTCCATTGAGGATTCAACCCGAAGCATACGAATTTCACTGAAGAAGCTGGTGCAGTCGCTAGATCCTGCTGTAGCCACAGCTGAGCCGATTCGTAGCTTTTCGGACGGACTCCCAGCATTCTCTTTCTGGAGAGCCACAAGTCCAGCCCAGCAGCCCGACTTCACGGGGCCCCCACCATCTTTGCGAGCCGAGCTGCGCGAGGCCGTGGAGCCCGCGCATCTTCTCCTGGCTCTGCTGACGCTCGGCTCGCACTGTGGGATCTCTTGCGGAGCACAGTTCATCGGACCATGCGATTCTATGTTCGAGCCATGTACGCTCATACATGCAGTAGGTATTGGACACACAAGGAGAGGTGCAACAGGCGTGCGTGGAAACAGGTATCTGATATCGGCTAACGCTCATGGAAAGATGATGAGTGACGTGTACCTGTATGGTCTGTATGAGTATGTTGATGCATGCACGCGCGGACGTGCAAATATGTACGAGCATGCATGCTTATGTCCCGAGGAAAGAGGAGCAGGGCGAGTCACATTGGCTGCATCTCGGCTTACCACACTGTCGACCAAGGAGCTTTCTCCCATACTTACAGGGACCGACAGGTGTTGGGACAGATCTGGCGGCATGTAGCTCTCGGCCAGTCGTTTTTGGAGTCTGGGCTGTTGCCTTGTCGAACGAAAGACCTCAGCTGCAGCACAACGTCTTTCGATGGGCCGCAAAACAATCACTTGCCCATTTGCAAGACGTGCTGTTGACGCAGAGGCTCGACCACTTCGAGCAAGACCGCGAGGAAGTCCGCCGGAGAGTGCTGCAGACTTTGTCAGACACTTATGCGCGCCTCATGTGATGTATTCGCATCTGATTGGTTGCAAGATTGTTAGGTTTCATTGTTGAAGATGCGTTTGTCGAAACTGCGACAGAAGCTTCGATGGAAGGAAGCATTGCAATTCCTTGGTTTGCTTGGCGAGGCAGGGCGCTTTGGCGATCGTGCGCTTAAATGCTCAGGGCCTCAGCTGTCCAGTCTGGCTCGGTGTGAAGACAGACAAGTATCAGGGATGTACAAGGGGGTATGAGCCCATCGAGGACGAGGCATGGGCGCTGCTCAGATTGGGGTTCTTTCTGGCTCGAATGAATGGCACGGTGGAACTCCTCTCCGATGGTTCAATTAGCAAGTTGGGCCAACAAAGAAACACCGACACCAAACCTAGGTGCTTGACAGAGCTGCTTGTGCAACATCCTCGTCCCGACTCCCCACGACAAATCCCCGAGTTCGATATCCAAAAGCCAAAGCATCAATGCGGCAAACAGAGCTCCTAAGGCAGCGAACAAGATCGCCGAGTAGGGGGCCCAGGAGGGACTGCAGTTGCGAGATTCGATCGCAGGATGAGTGGCAAGTTGAAGTCTTGAAAAAGACAAAGGCAATAAACCCGGAGATTCGAATGCCGATGCAAGGATGGAGCATCGGGCATCGCTAAGCTGCGAAGAGCCTGTGCCCTCAACCATTATGCTGACCGTGCCTGTCGTCAAGTGCGACGAGTCCTGGACGAAACACCGCAAAACCCAGACACCTCAAGCCGTTGCCCGTCTCACCATCTCCACATCAGTCCTTGCAAGCCCTGAACCTACTTGTACCCCAAAAGTCTTTCCAAGCTACCTTGATACGGGTGAGGCTGAAGAGGGCCAGCGCGCAGTCAGCCGCCTCTTCGGGCGAGGCTCTTCTATGCCCGTCAATTTGTTGCGCTGGAGATTGAAACCGGTATATTCTACTATAGTTTCTCAAACGGCTGAGGAAGCCTAAAATGACTGTAATTACTCGGCAGCCTTTGCATGAAGCCTGTTTGTCATTTTTGGCCTGCACTGATTCAACGTGCCTAGAGCCATGCCCACGGGGATCCGCGACTTCCACCCATGCCTTCAGGAAATTATACTCCAGATATTTTGCTGAGGGGCTGTGCGGAATCCCCAACTTCATCCCTCCCTGGGCTTGAGGAGTGGAAGGCTGTCAGCAGATCTTCCGAGACTTGTATGGAGTGCAACATCGACCCGATTGCAGGGGTAGACCCGGCTAGACTGCTAGAGTGTGTACCGCTTAGGAATTCCATTCAAATGCGAGAAACCAGCTGCGCTCAGAAACTTGGAACAAAACATAGTGACCCCACTCTGAGCCCTAAAGACCCTAACTCCACGCCGAACCCTAAACCCTGGATGAGCATGGGACTGTGGGCCTCGTCCTTGCTTTTTAGAAGGGAAGAGAAACGAGCATGGGGAGGCCTTACCTAGTTTCACGCCGACTTGCACCTGGCAGACCCTCGCCCGGCCAGTTGTAAGAGCCTAAATGCGCATGAAGCCCCGGGCTTCAAGCCTATCGCGCGCTGGAGGAGTCCAAGGACGCCGCGATGTCGCCTTTGGCTGCTCAACTGTGCTTCCCTCGGCACCTCCGGAACCCCTGTACTGGAGGGTTCAGGGTTAAGGGTCCGAGTCCAGAGGCATGACACTCAGTCCGTGGTCACAACGGCAAGGGTTCGGGGCTCAAAGGATTAGGGTGTCGGTTTAACATTGTTGCTGTCACGAAATCTCGAAACACTGGAACTGAAGTGGCTCCTTTGGCCTGGCTTAGCACCAAGCGCCACGACTCCCCGAACTCCAAAATTCGAAAGCAAGACCTCACGCATTGCGTTGGCGACGCGGATGGCAAGGGGGTTGGCAGCTTACGTTTTCCAATCTCCGGCTCTTGGAGACGTCAAAGACTCTTCCACAACCCGTCTTACAATCATTTGTATGATGATGATGATGATGATGATAACGATCATGATGGCGGCCCTGCTGCTTGAAGCCACAATGCCACGAATATACGAGAGTTAGAGTAGGGTCACGGTCAGAATAGTATTCACAACGGGCCGCAACCAACACAACAACAATTGTGACAACAGGCACGCAGGATAGAGAGAACCTGCTTTGCTGTAGGTCCAAGGCCTTTGAGACCTTGACGGAGGGCCTGGTAGAGCGGACGGTTGAGGCCGGTCCCTGCGCCAGCTGTGGGGCTCTGCGGCTTTCGTCGATATACTTTTGGGGTGGCGCTGCTGGAATCTAAAGCAGCCATCTGTCAGATGGATTCGTCCTCGATGTCCTTGACATAGAGCCGGTTAACGGCCAGTGTAGCAGCTTTTGCAAGTTCTATGTTTTTTAGATGCGGTTCTTGGCTTACCTGCGTAATAGCTATATAGCTGCACTAGCACGGTCAATATCTAGTCGCATCGTTTGGTGTGATCCGCAGCAAGGTTGAGTGTAGTGCCATGCTACTTCAGTCAGTACTCTCTGGTGAATCACGCCCAGGCGAAGCTTCTTCTCCTCGCAGCTCTGAGCTGAGCTCTCAGCTGTACCGAATGTCGGCATTCATACCAGCTGCCTACCTTTTTGTCGTAACTTGAGCAGCCCTTAAGTTAAGCCTGAGCGAGAGGCAGGATGTTGCCAATCCATGTTGCCACAGTTGTTGACCATGGTCTACTGCTCCTGAGATGATGTTGTTTGCAGTAAACATGAACACATGCTACCACTGCACATGCCCACATTCGTCCATGTTCCATGCGTACATGCATTTCTGCTTTTGGGCTTTCATTTCATAACCCTGCGTGTATGTTCGCAGGCACGTTTGTGTTGAATCCACCTGTGCAGTTGACATTCCATCATACCGAAGCCTCGAATTAAGCCTCGACGCAGTTCTTGGCGAGGTGTGGATGCACTTTTCTTCCCGAAAGCTTGAAAAATGCCACAACGGCAAGACACGTGTGCCAACGAGGCTTTCAGTGTTGCTGCCAGCTCTACGATTTCTAAAGAAGCCACGGTCGCACGTCGGGTGCGCTAAACCTCCAGCCACTCAAGCCTGCTACACCCTAGGCCGTCACCCCCACCCTACCTCTACGACAGCTTTCTCGGTTCACCTTCACTTCAGGTGGGGAGCACCTCTTCCTTCTGGGCCCTCCGGGCACTGATGGGAAGCCCGGTAAATCAGGCTTTGGGTTCTCCTTGTGTTCAGGGCTTGCGAGTTTACTCTTCCTGTAGATGGGTACTCTGAATTTTGCTGATTCGCGGGGGCCAGACTCGCCAACTTTTGATCAGGGGTTTGGAGACCTTGCTTTGAGTGGGCCTCATGCCTACATCGATTTTTTTCCCAGGCTTCTGTAGGTAGTTTTTCGGGTCGCAGCTTGGAGGTCTGGCATGCAGGGTTTCAAGTTTCAGTCTCGAGCGGATGGAGGCACATGCTAGTGCAACCATAGGCCATAAACTTCCAAACCTCTAACTCCTATCCCGAAAGCAGATAAATTTACACTCCTAGCCCCCTAAAGATCTCATTGCCCTAAACTGCCTACCTAAACCTTGAAGCTCCACTCCCCAGAACCAATTATTACACCCTCAAAGCCTCAGCAATTCACCTAAACCCCATATAAGCCCATATACTCTAAAACTGGAAACTAGACCTTCTTAAAGCCTCAGCGACTCAAGGCCAAAAGTCTCTTGGCCCGGCGCCTCGCCACGGTCTGCCGCGGCGAGTTCTTCGAGCGACTGCTCACGAGGTGCGCTGGTGACTGGGTTTTGGGCTTGGGGGTTTTGGGGTCTAGGACGTTTCGGGCTCCGAGGCTCCGAGGTTTAGCTTCAGGGGTATAGGGTGTATAGAGGCTTTGGGTTTAGAGCTCCGGATTTCAGGGTCTGGGTTGGTTTGTGAACTTCAGCTTCGGGCCTTGTGCATAGTCGTCTGGCGGTCGGCTGTGTGTCTAACTGCACTTAGCGCTTCGTGTTGAAGCTAGCTATCGTTTTTGCGGTCAGCTGGCCTTCAAAACTTCCACGCTTGCCCTTCCGCCCAAACTGTTCCGCTTACATTGAAAGGACTTAGGGGGGGGACCCTTTGGTATAGAGGCGTGCCCCTGAAGCAGAAACTCGCTCGCCCCAAGAATCTCTGACCGGACAGGTTTTCAGTGCCAGAGGAGGCAGCAGGGATGCCTTCCATGCTGTTGCCTGGAATTGAAGTTTGGGGTTGGCTGCGAAGTGTGTGGGGTTCATAAGGTTTTTGTACAGAGGTTGGTTGCAGAGGCATGTGGGGCCGCTCCCGAACGTCGAGCTTAGAGTGCTCAGTGAAATACCGGGCAACCTATGTACTATTGTGTCGGCAGAGCGGGGGTCAGACTCGCAACAGATGCGCAGCTAGGGCAGCAATGAAAGCACGAAGCTCATGCCTAAACATGATGTTCGGGATTCTCTTCTAGCTTGCTTTGAGTTTCAGAGGCAATTTTTTGTAAGCATGTTTCAAGGTTTGAAACGGGTAATTAAGGGTTTTTATGGGTTTCAGATGGGCTGCGACTCACCCTCGCCGGACAGATCTTTGGCCCCCTGTCGCTCCGCGCCCTGGAGAACGACGAGCTTCGACGGAAGGCGCCGATGCGGGGCTGAGTTCGAGAGCTAGGTCTCTCAGTCAGGAATCCCGTGAAACATATATTATATGACTATATGACTCTTGAAAATTCCTGCTTATGATTGCTGTGACTTTTGGCATTTGATTTGTCATGGTTTTCAGCATGACATTTTAATGGTACCGTGGCTATTGCAGGCGGGGTTCTGGTAGTGTCACCAGCGCTTTTACGCGTGATGTTTGTCGCTTGAGGAGCCCCGTGCCCAGGCGGCATGCAAGGCTTCCTCGTTTGAGTTTGCAGACCTCAAGCTTCAGAGAACCATATTGGGCTGAGAACTTAGGCCCTGGTTGCAATCGCTGCCCGGTTCGGGAGTGTTCCGCAGTCAGGGCAGGCCCCGGCGCGCTTGAAGCTGCACAGCTTCAAAGTCGTCGAGCTGCAGCATTTGCATCATAGCCTTGACAGAGAAACTGAAGCACCAGCGACACAAGCCGGTCAGGGTAAGGCCATCTATCACCCTGTCGGCAGCAGGAAAGCGTGACCCTTAAGCACCTAAACTTTACAAGCCCTAAACCCGACTTGTAAGCGCCCAGGCCCTAAACCTTGTAAGCGCCGAAACCTTAAGCCCCGACTTTTTGACAAAAGCTTGAAGCTTTTAGCCTCTAATAGATGATGAACCTTATACCTTATACACCTTCGCGCAGCTGATCGCTCTGATGCTGCATCTGCACCCTAGTGGGCTGCCTGCCCATGGCCCGCGTCGGCGACGGAGGCTCTGTCCGACATCTGTGGGGACTAAGAAGAAGTAAGTTAATCTCGAAATCAGTCTAGTTATCTCTTATCTAACAATATTTTAACCAGTCTATCTTTTGAAATCGCCGTTCCCTTTAAGGCGTTTACGTTCGCACAACAGGAGTAAGTTCAGTATCAAACGGACCCAGCAAGGGGGCCATTTTTGAGAACTGCCGTCGCATGGGGCTTGTTGAAAGTTGAAGAACCCTGCATGCGCTGAGGTAGTGTATCTCAAGATTTCGGAGATTTTGGCTTTGAAGCAGCGTTAGGCCAGGACGACTTTACTTTTCCTTTGCAGTCTGCACACAGAAACCCCTGGGCCGTGGCCTTCTGCTGCCATTCAGCAAATCATAGACCACGAGCACGAAACTCATCAGCAGTTTTCGGGATCAGGATCCAAAAGCGGTGGCCCAAGAAGTCGTTCCTGTTCATAGGTGCTTGAGGGAGACTTGAAGGTCTTGGGCCGTACTCTGATGAGCAGGTCGTCCATGAACTCTCGATCGCCTGTACAACTTCAGTTTCGGGTGTTCTTGACGTCCGGGCCAAACCTGGCAGAAGCTCTTGTTGGTCCAGTCTGTCTCGTCACCTCGTGCTAGCTGCTAGCAGTGTCTCAACAAGCTCTGCATATGGCTTTGGGTTTGGAAGAAGCAACGATAAGGAAAGCTTTGCTGCCGGCCAAACCGTAGGGCTCCAGAAAGATAGGATTTCTTTATCAAAGGCCTCTTAAAGAATGCGATTCTATACATCTATTTATGGTTTGGGGTTTTGCCGGGAGCATGTCCATTCCAGCTCAAGGTTGTTTATTGTTTACGTTTACGACAAGCCTCGCCTCGGCATCCACATGCTTGAATCTTTGCTACCCTACCAGGGCCTGCTGTAGTGCCGGCAGCTCGACGTGGCAATTTTCTCGGCCGAGCTTCTATCCAGGAGTGGACTTGGGTATGTGTGCGGCTTCTCCACAGACCAAGATCTATTTAACCTACAGCCCGTCTTGTCCTTCGGCCACCGCGAGAACCTGCTGGCTTTCAGCATACACCCTAGAATCAAGTATCCCAGCAAGTCTACACACAACCGTCGATGGTCTGAGTTCCTAGCGGGTAATCTAAACCTTAAACCAGACCCGAAGCTTGAGTGTCTTGAGCGAGGACCCGTTTGCCATCCTTGGACTGAAGCAGTCGGCATCTTCCGAGCAGATCACCTGCGCGTATCGCAGCCTAGCACGTCGCTACCATCCCGACAAGGACGGCTGCAATTGAGCGCAACAAGGAGGGCTGCCGGGACAACTAGCCGAAGTCGTGATATGTTGTTACAGCTCTAGAACTTGAGTATACCCAAGTCTCCTTCTCCAGGCCTCATAGCAATACCATGGTGGTTGATTCCAGGTTGGCGTTGGAGAGTTTAGAGCTCTTGCCTCCGACCCTGGGCGGTGGCGGACGGAGCAGGGATTTTCGGGTTGAGGGTCTCGTGGTTCAAACTGCGAAGTTGGTTTAGGGTTCGCAGTTCAGACTCTGGAAACTAGATTCCAGAGGGGTTCCAGACCCTGGAATTACCGGCAGCTTAAAGCGGAGAGATTCCTGGCGGGTCCAGAAGGCAGAGCCGGGCACGGAGCCCGAAATACCTAGCTTCGTTAAGGCAGCGTCTTGGAGGTACTTCGGAACTCCTGCGTTGAGCCTTGAACCGGAAGCGTAAACCAGCCCTTGGACCCTAAACCTTTGCACTGTAGCCGGATTTGGGGTTTGGAGTTTGGGCAGCTCTGCGAGAATCCGTGGTGGCCCCTACAGGATCGCTCCGTGCCATCGCACCTGGCAACTGCACGCTTCCAACGCATCCGTGCAGCGTACGATCTGCTCAGCGATGAGCGAAAGCGCAAGGAGAGCAACTTTTCAGTTCAGGAGGTTTTGGGAAGAGGAGTCGAGGAATTNNCCCCCCCCCCCCCCCCCCGAAGAATTTAATCCGCTTGCATGAGTTGTGCCTAGCCCTCACGAAATTTCGCGGACAAGCCCATCATTTTCGACTTTCCCCAGCTTTGCTGGCAGGCAGCGGCCGCCTCCAGCATCTCTGCCCCCTTCAAGCCCTCCGCCGCCTGGCGTGCCCAGCAGCGGCGGGCAGCAGGGCACGCTGGCCCGGCGCCGCCCCGAAAGAAGGTGCAAGGTTTTAGGGCTACGGTCTGTAGTTTTGAGGGAGTTTAGGGGTTTAGGTTTTGGGGTATAGGCAGGCTTTAGCCTTTCTGAAGGTTTACCCTTGTGTGGGGTTCGGCTTCTGCGTCCTATTCCTAGCACCCTAGGGCCCGAGGATGACGATGATGCCATGATGTCCAGGTGCGTGCCAGCTGCACCATCGGACTAAATATTCAAAGGTCCAGGATAGATAGTAGGTAGGTTCTCTCAGGCGTCCTTGCAGATGCATATTCGCCATCTGGGGGTAAATGTGTTTTACCGCTCCTGCCCCCCAGGTGAAGCCCATGCGGTTCAAACTCGCGCGGAAGAAGAAGCACAGCGTCTGCAGAGGGGGCACGGTTCTGATGAAGCATCAGTGGCCGCACTTTCTTGAGGTCGCTCTAGATCTTTGCGGGCTCAGATGAATGATAAGCTTCCATGGACATCAGAGAGCTTTTCGACGGGCTATTTTGAAGATCCCAGGCTTAGTTTATATGTATTATAATGAAGACACGTGTCTCGCATCACTTCAGATTCATCCCGGTATCTTCCTGCTATCCAGTGAATCCCGGGCACCTGAAGCCCGCACCACAAAATCTACGCAAAACTTCCGTTACAGCCTCAAGCCCTAAACCCTTAAAGTTAAATTGTGGTCTGTTAGTTTTCGGGTCGATAGGGTCTTTAACGCGTTTCTTGTTTAATGCTTGTGGTCGTTTGACTTCTCCGCAGAAGAGGAGACTGAGCTGTTCTTCCTGTTGTAACTACCCTAAACCAACCCTAGGCCCTAGACCCCAAGCATACTAAGCAACCTGGTCGATTTAGGCCTGCTTTCATATTGGGCATCGAAACGTATGTCCCAATCCCATGCCCGAACCCCCAAACTCAAAACCCTAAACCCCTTATCCAAGTGTTGGCTTAGAGGTTCTACTGTAGGGCCCTCGAAGTGTGGTTCGAAGCATGTGTGTGAGTTTCACTTCTGCAGACCTCGTACCGTATGCCTCGCCTGGATTGTCCGAGTGTGAGAGCCGAAACCCCTTAGCCTCGCCAGGCTTGTCCCAGTTGTGAGTGCTGAAACCCCTTAGCCTTACCCGAAGGCCCAAAACACCGAACGATCCATCTTCAGGATAAAGCCACAAAATCCGCCCGCCGCAGAAGAAGAGAAGGATGGCTTCGATCTTGGCATCCTTTGGTTGAGGGTCTTTGCCTTCGCTGCATTTTCGGGTTTATGTTTTAGGGCTTGGGCTCAATCTTTTTCAGGGCCTGATCCTGCCCCTGGATGCTTGTGATTTCTGTCTTGAGCTGAGGCTGTGAGCCACACCACTAAATCACGCCATGCAGTCTGGAGTATTGGGATCAGCACTTAAGCTTCACCTTCGAAGTGCTGCTGCCTTTGAGTCACTGTTTTCAGCTGCTGGTGGGGCTTGAGATTTGTGGGAATACCTTTTCAAGACCCAAGAAGACCGACAAGCGTAAGCTGCCCGGCCACCACATTCGGGATGGCATTGCACTTGCAGCTCGGAGGGCTTGAACGAAGTTCAAGCACAAAAGCCCCAAAGACAGCCTTACGGCTGAATCCAAAGCCCGCAACCAGACGCTTTTCTATCGAAGTGAGCTTCGCGGAAATTTGCTCGGCATCGTGACCGCAGGAGCTGCCAAAGGAAGCCAAACAAGTTGACGTCGTCGAAATCTTGGATTCCGACGACGAGGCGGCACGGACATGGCCACGGTCTGGAGAGGGACGGGTTCATAGACGGACGCATGTGCGACAGGAGACACTAGCACAGTATGGTGTGTGCATGCATGCATGCATGCAGGTATGAACATATGAATATATGTGCCTAGTGTAATGCAACATGATGCGGCTTAACGGAATGCAGTGTAGTGTAACATAACGGACATGATGCAACAAAATGTAATGTGATGTAACGTACCTGAGCGTAGTGTCCTGTTCCAGCCCACTTGCTCTTGCAATCGTAAGGTGTCGGATGCTGGGAAGAGGGAGGGAGAGAGAGAGAGAGAGACAGCTTCGATCAGCAACCGCTCCCGCTGTCCGACCCCAGTTTCTGCCTAATAGGCCCTATTTGTATTGTATTGCAGTCTTGGCCCTTTCATCGGCTGCAATCCGGGCCAAATGCTCCCAGAAAATAATATTGTTGGTTTTCATAGCATGAGGAGCGGAGCACATGCACACACAGCAACATTTTGTTAGAGGACTCCTTGCCGGCAAGAGAAGACTTCTCAACATTGAAACCTTCTTGCAGCAACTTCGCTCGTGGCTGGCAAGTAGGCAACCTTCAACCTCTTTCGGTTCTAGTCCCGCGAATTGGCCGAGTAAAGCTCAAACCTTCCCTGGGCCAGGAGGCCAAACCAAGCCTTGAAGCCCTGAAATACTAGACCCTACAACTTCGAAGCCTGAACCCGGAAGCACTGAATGAATCCTGAATCCCCCCAAAGATCCCTAACCCCCGCAAGAATAACGAACAAACCTCCATGCGAAAGAATCGCTAACCCTCAAGAACCCTGAGCCCGAGTTGTAGGAAAGCCTTAGAAGACCCCTAAAGCCCCGTCAGGTCCAAGCGGCTCCGCCAGCTGCAGTGCTCCCACCTCGGCGGCGCGCGGCCGTTCGGACTGCGGCGGGCGACGACTGCAGGAACGGGAAAGCACGAGGTTCTTTAGTCGTTTAGGGTTTTACTGGTAGGGCAGTGTACTACTATAGGGGTTGACTATGAGGGCTTATTATATAGTTCAGGGTGACCAGAAAGGCTGCCGAAAGGGGCCGAAGCAAGGGGCCACGAAAAGGGTTGCCCAACGGTATTTGCTAGGACTTCTCAAGGTGTTAAGAAGCGCCGGCTTTTAAAGGGGTAGTTGTCAACGCTGCAACTGGGTCTCCAGTGATAAACGTTCTCCAGGGTCTTTGCAAAGCTAAGTTTGAGGGGTTGGGGACAATCCCCAAACCCATTAAGCACAACACAGAGCCCCTGCAAAAGCCAAAGCTCGGCAGGCCCTTGCCCCTGATCCCTAAAGAAAAGGGAAGTCTTTTATTTTGAGCCTCGACCCTAGACCAGGCGTCTGCAGAGCAGGGCGGCCGCGAAGCGAAGAGCCCTAGAGCGCCGGCACGGGCAAGCTGTGGGCGAGGCAGAGTGGACCACAGGCGAATGTAGAGTTTAGGGTTTAGGATGTAGGCATAGCACAAAACCGCTGACCCACCCTAACTCCCGGGCCTCAGCCCTGGCCTCAAAGCTAATTCACGAGAACAGGCGACCTTGCGATGATGCTGCTGATGATGATGATGATGGGAAGTTCTCAAGCACCGTGGTGTTTTTTGAGGAGCGGTCGGCAATTGAAGAACCAGAAGAGGTGGCAGGCCCGGGACCTAGAGCACTTGACGGAGTAGCACAGTGATTCTCCCGAACCTGGATTTTAAGCGTTCCTCTGGCTCTCACCCTTTAGTCTCTAGTGTTCCAAGTGTCATTGTGTGGGTCTTCTTGTGGTAGTGCTTTGTACTACCACACGAACACAATGATGAAAGTGCACTGGGGCATTTGCCCCTGGCAACTTCAATTGCCAGGAAACTTAGAAGGCAGGTTCTAATTAGGTGATAGGCCACGCAGCCAAGTACAGCCTGCTTACGAAGTGCCATGAGCCTCCAAGCAAGGAAAGTCTTTTGCGCGCTTGGTCTTTCGCTCCGGGTGCCTCGGTAGGACGCGGAGAGTCCACATCTTGGGACTTCACTGGCAAATGGCATTCAGGTTGACTCTGTAGGGTTCAATGTTTCAAACCTGTGTGCAAGAAGGGGTTCAATGTTTAAGGGGGTTCAATTAGGATTCAGGTTTTAGGGGCAAGGTGAAGGCTCTGTTCGTTCTCTGTTTCAGCGGTTGGGCTTGGCTTTGAAATCAGTGGAACCCTAAACCCTAAACTCCGCCTGCAATGCACGGGCACGTCCTTGCTAAGTAGGAGGCAAAAAAAGCTCCGCCCACATGTTAGAAGAGACTGGGCTTCAGCAAAGTAGCGGATCTAAGACTGGAGACACAACGCAATGGATCGAAGTATCCAGTGGAATTCTCACAGTGTGCAAGCCTTGCGCCGGCCATCCCTCTCCTTATCTTCGACATCCCCTGTCTATAATCATAACGCCCCTATGAAGAGCTAAAAAGTCCTTTGAAAAACACGGTCAAACCTTGATATGCCCCACCTGAGCCTGGCCGTCACCGCACCCAGGAAGGGCCGAACCCCGGAGATCCTGGCCAAGGATTTGCTCGCTGCCTTTCCTAGGGCTGAGGCGGGGACAATTTAGGGCTTAGGGCTTAGGGTGTCGGGCTTCGGGCTTAGGGTTAAGGGTTTAGGGTTTTGAGGTTTGGGGGTTTTAGTGTTTGTAAACTTTAAACCCAGACATTCAGGCGATTGCACAAGCCCTGGTGCCAAAAAGGGTTTGGGGTTTTGAGGGCGCAAGGCTCAGGGTTAAGGGTTCAGGGCTTGGGGTTTTAGGGTTTGAGGCTTTAGGGTTTAAGGGCTTCGGACTCTTCGGGTTGAGCACTGGAGGGCTGATGCCCTAGGGCGTGGGGCCAAGGTTTACCATCTAAGCAAGGGGAGGTGAAGCAGCCAGAAGTGCAGCGAGTTGTGGTTTTGCGGCATACTTGCGAAGAAACCTAAGCTGCGTGTGGAGCTTGATTCAGTGCAAGCTTGCATTTTCGTGTTCGTACTGTAGGATAAATACGAAGAGATACATCTGAACTTGGCAACAACTCGGCTGAGCTGTGAACTCACAGGTGATCTTGCTGCAGCCGTTCCTAGCTGTCCTCTCCTTCCCGACGCAAAAGCAGGTGCAGCTCTTGGGGTTCTTGCGCTCCGGTCGTGTTGTGTACTTTCGGTTTTTTGGGGTCGTGGCTTTGACATTGCGGTTTGGCTTTGAAGGGTGTTGTAATTTCTTTCAGGTCATGTTTATCGCCGACATTAGCTACAAGTAATTTCGCCCAAGCTTCACCATCAGTCCAACGTAGGTCTTGGATCAGGATCGAATCCGAGATGCACACCTTCAACCCCCAAACCCCTCAACCATGATTCCTTCCTGAACAGCCTTGAACATGAGCCCGAACCCCCCCTCGACCTAGACCCTTGAAGATTTAGACCTGAACCCTACACCGGAATCCTGGACCCTGATTTAGGTTCTGCTCAAGCCCCGACAAGCTCGGCAGCCCAAGCCAGCGTGCAGACTTTCGAGACTTGGTGCCTGAAACCCTGAAGCAGAAAATCTGGATCCCTCAAGCAAGCTTTAGAGTCTTCAATACCAGTTTAGAGCGCTTGAAACTGTTGGAGGCAGTGGCCTGTGCCCTCAGCTTCCATGGTTGGCCTGGTCGGGCGCCTCCCGAGCGGGAGCTGCGCGTTCTCAGGCCGCGCGGCTTTGGGGGGGGGGGGGGGGGGGTTTAGCGGATTAAGCGCGTAGGTCACGGGGTTCTGGTTTATCGGATTCACCTTCATGGGGATTTCAGGGTTTCGGGGTGGCAGGGTTTGGGGGTGCACAAAGCAGAGGGCCAGCAGTTCTCCACATTCAACATACGTTTTCAAGCTTCACACGGCCAGACATGCTGTTTCCCCATGATGCCGACCTTCCCTTGATGCTGAGCGTCTGTGTGTGTTCCTGCAAGGCAGCTGAGTTTGGTCGTGGCGCCAGTGGATTCCAACGGCTGTGCCTCGGTGTGGAAAACAGATTGGGGTACTGAAACTGGGCTCGCAAGGTCGTGTTTTGAGATCATTCACTTTCGACGCTGTCAAAGGGACAGTGAATCTGGCGCCCACAGGGCCCCCGATCATATTGTCATATCATCCGGCAGCAATGTTCTAGGTAGCAGGCTCCTTGCCACCCAACTACCCGAGCAGAGTTTTTTTCACCAGACAGGGAGGTTGTTCTCAATCATGCTTCCCTTCAGCCCCGAACGGCCCTGTTCGAGAGCAGCCCCGCAGGCTCGCTTCAGATAAAGCTGGGAGCTCCGAACAGCCGAACCACAAGTAAGCCTGTAGGGGCCTTACACCCTGCCTGTTTGTCCTGTGCAAAAAAATATTTCCCGTTGGAGTCGCAGACCGGATGCAAAAGATAAACTCCAAACCGTAAGCCCTCCACCCAAGCATCTTCTCTGAGGCGCCCAGCCGGGTCCGAAGACCCTCGTCGTGTCGCGGACGCGCGTCGCGGCCGCCGATGGCCGGACCGCTGGGATCCTCTCGGCCTGAAAAGAGAGCGATGGGACCAGGGTTTTCCGGCTCGTCCCGGATGGGCTTTTGGGGTTCGGGGGCTTGGAGGTTTCGGGTTTATAGGTCCGTTTCGTTTGGTTGGCGATATCGGGTAGACATGTAAGGTTTCAGGGGTTCGGGGTTGAAAGAATCGTGCAGTCGTTGTTCTACATGACTGCGCTGAAAACCGTCGTTCGGGTCCGCGCGATACCTAGAAGTCCCTATTTGAAGCACACTTTTGCGAGATTTCCGAGCTCAGCCAGAACAAAGGATGTCCCAGCAAAGTTCCCAAAATAGCTATGACTCGAAACACGAAACGTTTAAGCAGCTCTAGACCCTAAACTCTATAAACCCTAAGCCTGAACCCATAGGTCGTGATTCTCCCACCCTGACGCTTCGAGTGCGAGAGTCCAGGGCCGAAGGTCCTGAATCACCTAGAGCTCCCATCGCTGGGCTCTCATGAAATTGTTGGGTTTAGGGTTTAGGGTTTAGGGTTTAGGGTTTAGGGGTGCAAAAAAAAAGGGGTGTCTTGACTCTTGTGTTCCCTGGTCCCTCACCTAGCGATGGAGGACAGGACAGGAGGGAAAGACACTTGTTGCTCGGAAACACGTTTACACTTTGCCTGGGCTTGTCCGAGTGCAAGCGTGAACGAAGCTTAACGCCTCAAGCCGAAACCCCTAAAGTCCTAAACTTAAGCCCCTAAACCCCAAGACCCCGAAATCAAAACCGGCCAGAATTGCTGGTTTAGCAGGTCGAAGGCTTCTTGCCCACCGCAGACGTGGCTTTCCTGGACGAAGTCTTCAAGGCCAGGCAGGTTTTAGGGACATGGGGGATTTCGGGGGTTTCGGGCTTGGGTTTATGTGGGGGGGCTGTGGGCTTGAGATGGGATTGCCAGCTTTGGTTCCGTGTTTCGGGTTTGTGCACAGGGGATGGGTTTGGGAGCAACGACCGGAATCGGGCGGGGGGAGGGGTTGAACGTGGGGTTCGGGAGGATGTTTATCAATTGAATATGGGACGAAAAGGATTTGGAACAAGAAGGATTAGGAAAGGTAGAGTTTAGGGAGTGGGCATGAGAGCTTAGAATTTATGGCTTTTGTCTTTTAGCGCAGTAGGACCTTGGATATTCGGTTCTTGAGCTTGGGGTATCCAGTTTTCGCAACGTGCTTTTGGCTTGCTGTTTGATATACACCTTCTGAGGCTGGGGCATTCACCGCCTTTGATCTTGGCTTAGGCGACTCCAGTGTTGAAGCCTTGAGGCTTACAGTGACGTAAGTGTTCAGGGTTCAACGACATGCGATGACGTAGCTCCAGGGTTTCCAGCCTTCCTGACGTCTTCTTTAAAGCTAGACTGAAGATCGCGCCCCTGAGTGGCACAAGACATGAAAGAGCCGACCCACCCTCAGAAACTTCCAGGAGAAACCACCCCACGACTATATATTGCTAGGTTCAAAGTCCCAAACCCAGTGTCTGACACCCTGCAGCCTGAACGTAGTCGTCCTCCTAGCAGCTACTTGTAAACATGTGGCCCGCCGAAAGTACCTCATGCGGGCGGCGGGGGGCGTGACGCTTCAAAGAAACTTCTGAGGCGAACTCCTCCATCTTGAATGCATTGCTCACGTTGCTGAACGCCGCTTGCCCGTGCTTCCGAGGGGTCCTGTGCTTGTGGTTGGAGAATTCAAGGTGCAAGGAGTAGCATTCTGTAGGGTTTAGGGATGGCGTTTTTGGATCCAGGCTTTGGAGCTAAGTGTATGCTTCTGGGTTACTCCATATTTGAAGAAGAACCACGAAAGCATGGATTGCGGGATAAGCCTAAACCCCAAAGCTCTTCATCCTCTGAAAACCTACATAGGCCCCAAACGGCAGGATCCTTATCATGAGGGCCCGGATATGAGGCATCCCTAATTCCAACAAAACAGTTCCCTCGAAGGCCCGGCCCGGAACCTAAGCTTAAGAGGAACGCATCTTCGACAACGGCGGCGAGCGAATCGACGTCCCCCTGCCGTGGCCACAGGTGATCCTAGAGAGCCTGATACGGTCTACTTATGCTTCGAAACTCCTTGGTTATGCGTCTCTGTTATGGTGCTGGTGCTGCGAGAGAGGGAGGCAGGCAGAGACAGAAGGGAGAGAGAGACAGAGAGATTTACAGAGCGAGAAAGAGCTGACCGTGCATGCGTCGCCACTTCCTGTGACTCAGCTTATCCTACCCTTCTGGGGTTGAAGCTATGACAGCAGCAAGTGTGGAGCAGGAATTCTGCTAAGGATCTTGGCAAGGCTGCCGTCCGTGGGGTTTAGCCTAGATACCGTCAGATACCTACTCGTATGCAAAACCTGTCCCACAGCAGCGGCCGCAGCCCCCCCCACCCTTAAAGCCTCGGTTCGAGCCTCGGAGACTCAAGCCCAGACCTTGAACTTCGCCCAACAACTCAGCCAGCTAGCACCGTTTCGTGAGCCATGTGCGATGCTGCGCTGCCTCAGCTGATGGATCCCAACCCTCCTAGAGCCTTGGCCTGGTTTCTTTGTGGAGGAGTGGTGCTTTGCTTTAGGCTAAACGGTTGGAGGATTTTGGTCGAAAACTCAGGGAGTCTGGGCGCGGGAGGATTAACTCTTCTCACTGTCCATGATGTGGGTCCCTTCGAGGGTCCTGATTGCCTTAAATGAATATGGAAAGAGTCATCTCCTAGTTACTCGACTTCCGAATTCGGGACTTTCAGAAAATACGACGGGACCGTTACATAGAGCCCGGAATGATGGTGATGGAAGGATCCCAACATAAGGCATCCCTCTTTGTGAGACCTTCCCATCCTTGAGCCTGCTTCCGAGATGGTGGGAAAAAGCCAGCTCCCCAGGGGCCACGGGTTCACCACCCGGGGTCGGGAGGTTGGATGGGCTCCACAGGTCTTCGAGCAGGGAAGTGTGCAGGTTTGAGGCATTAAAAAGGGCTTTTTGTTTGGGGGGTTGGCTCCTTGAGGGCTTTTTGAGGCTTAGGGTCATTTAGTTTTTCTGGCTTATGGTTTTGGTGTTTTAGGTTTTCGGGTTGTGGGCTTGGGGCCCAAGGCTTCGAAGTAATGGCGTCCCCCTGCACAGTTCCCTGGTTGTTGGCACCATGAACCCTCGAATCAACCTTGAACATAGGATTTAGGGCCATTTAGGGTTGAGGCATGCCTGATCGTTTTGCACTGACTGTGTCCTGACGGCCAATCTCAGAAGCCCCGCCTGCCCTCAATCCTTGTGCATCTTACGCTCTGAAGCCCTTCAGTACACCACGAAAGTTTCAACAAATCGAGAAGTGTACCGAAACCCTAACACGAGTTGCGAATGTCCATTCTCCGACACCCCGAAGCCCCGGTGCCCGAAAAGGCAGGTTCCTCTTACCTTGAGCCCTGAACCCCAAACCGTAAACCTTGGGCCGGCTTGAGGCAGCGCTGGCGCCGGGAACGGCAAGAAGGGGCTCAAAGTCGGCCGACGCCTGCCGAGGCACGCGAGGTTTGACGCTTGGGTTTTGGAGCTTTGAGCACCAGCCATGTTGTGGCGTATGGTTCGTATGATCCTCACAACCTGCACATAGCACGAAACCCCGAAAGTCGGGGTCGGGTTTTAGGATTCTCGGGGTTTAGGTTTTGAAGCTTCAGGGCATGGAATTTTGAGGCCCTCGACCCTGAACCAACATGGGTGCTCAGAGGAAAGTCGGAGTTGTGGGCTTCGGGTTTTGGGCTTCTGGTTTCTGATTGCTTCTCGAGGTGATCGGCAGAACTCGGGTGAAGGGTTTCTGGGTTTCGCGGTGTTTCTGGACTTGCGGATTTGACATACAAAGGGTTCACATTTGGGATCATTTGAGGCTTCTTGAGCTGCGGCACTGTCTCGACAAAACCATTTGGGCGGAAGCAAATGCAACAGCTGAGCGCAAGTTTGTGTCGCCTAGCGAAACGCTAGACTCTAGATCCTAAACCCTTGAAGCCTTTACCCTATAGAAGCCCTACAAGTGAAAAAGATGCAGGATACCAGCTTTGTCTTGAAGACCGGCAAACCCAATATCCAGAATCATCCCACAGCAACCTCACTTGTGGCCATTTTCCTAGCCATACGAGACGGGGAAAAGGCCTTTTCCAGCCACGCCCACCCTAAGCCAAAAAACCCTAAGGCAAAAAAGTCCGAGTGTAAGCGCCGAAACCCTACCGACAACGCCAACTGTCCCGAATGTCACGGCCCCACAGATCTTGTCGGAGTGACAGCCTTTCGGACGATTCTTGCCTTTGGCTTTTATACTGTTACACTGTTACACGTACAACCTACAGTGTGTGTATGTATATGTGTGTATATATATATATATGCACATAGAAAATGTAGTTATATACATACCTACATACATATATAGACATGTTTATACACATATCTATTTGTCTGTCTATCTATCTAGTCTAACGTAACCTACTATGATCTAGTCTGGTCTAATCTTATCTGGCCTTATCTTACCTTACGTCACCTTATCTCATTTTATCTTACCTGAACCTTACCTATCTTATCTGGTCTTGTCGTGTCTTGTCTTGTTTCTTCTTGTCTTGTCTTATCTTATCTATCTATCGGTCTATCTATGTATCTATGTATCTGTCTGTCTATCTATCCATCCATCTCTAGCTACCTACCTGCCTACTTACCTACCCCCCCACCCACCTACCTACCTGCTTGCCTGCCTGCATACTTATCTACTTACCTACCTACCTGTATATATCTGTTGAACAACTTTGGGGCAAAGGCCGGCCAGGGCTACGCAGATGCTAAGCCGGCGGCACACCCAAGTATGGCCACGCGGCCAGTGCCTGTTTCCCTGCGCCTCGGCTTCGGCTTAGCGGAGGTTGTGTCATAGCTACGTGCTGTAAGATGTCGAGTTAGGAACCATCGTAGCGATGTTGAATCTGGCCGCGCAAAAGTTTGTTGGGCAGTGGCAGCAGTGCTGTGGCTGTGGCGGTGGCGGCCTCTAAGGTGGAGATGGTGGTGGTGGTACTGCTTATTGTAGTAAGAGTAGCACATGAATTCGATTCTGATCGAACTGCCAGCACTCTCTCTCTCTCTCTCTTTCTCTCCCTCTCTCTCTCTTTCTCTCTCTCCCTCTCTCTCTCTCTGTCTGCTCGAAATTCCGAAAATGGAAGCAGGAGGTTGCGGTTGTCGTTGTCGTAAGCACGAGCGGATGTGGCCAACATCGTCCAGCGCCTGAGGTCTGACAAGCAGGTGCAGCACCCTGGCTCCATGGTGTCGGCGTTGCCAACGGGTTTTGGATGCCATGACCGAAGCCACAGGAAAAGGCGAGCAGCCATGTAGTTGGAGATGACGTGTGGTGCCGCTCCAGAACAGGATTTGTCGCAAGCCGGGGTAAGAAGGGACAGAAGTGAGTGTCTTCCCACGGACCCACTGATTCCAGTGTGCCCCGACGCCACATTCCTTTTACTTGTATACAAGCTGCTTACCACCCCAGAACCTGAGCAATGCCAAAGCCCTGCTGACTCCCGCATGTCCCACATAGAGCTAGCAAGCCACAACTCATCACACAACTCACCAGTTTGAAAGCTCTTTGTCTCGAAACTCCCCTGGCGCACTTCCACATGGTTTGGGGGGAAGGAGATCCGAATGTTCTCTCTTTGCTTGAACTGGCTTAAAAACTGTTGCCGATGAGTTGTGCCCTTCAGTGAGCGTGGTTCCTTTTGTCCTCATGTTTCTCCACTGCCTCTTGCTTTTTGCATTAGGGTTTTACCGACACTCCTGAACGCAGCTGACGTTTCGAGACTGGGTCAGAGACCGCCTTCTCCAGGGTTCCCACATATCTTTACACATCTAAGGCAGTTCATCGTTGAGGGATTCCTGGAGCTTGCTCCAGACAAAGGCCTGGATCGCCTGCTTCTGTTCGCGTTTTTGGTGCGGTACAGAGACTTTGTTTTTCGGGGCCTCTGTCTCAGGCCTCCGAGAATTTGCAGCCCCGTAGCCTCCTGTAGGATGTGTATGAGGTTCGAGCTAGGCCCCAAGTATTGCGTTGGTCTTGGGCCGCACCCTCAATTACAGGCTTAGGGTGTCTGCCAGGCCAAGCCGAGATACACGACTCCATCTACGAGCAGGCGGTTGCCTTCGGCCGCCGCGCTGAAGAGCTTCCCGGTTAGCGTGAGCTCCTGTGTATCACCACGCAACGGGAAGCAGGTGGCAGATGACAAGACAGGTAGTATTCAACATGCAAGCCCCCGCGCCTGTGTTGCATTCGGAGGTTTTTCGCCAAATGTCGGGACCTGATAAGCGCCCTTTGGTTTTGTATCTCAAGATAGTAGGGTCGCTGTTTAAAATGTCCCTGGGTTCTGAAGCACATTCCTGGCATTCCTAAACGCTCAAAACTCTGCGACCCTACGACCAAAACCCTCGACTCCACCCAGCGCCCTGAACTTCGGCCACCCATAGCAAAACAGCCCAAAACCCAATTTCCTGAAGCCAAAAGACCCTGAGCCCTGCGAACTCAGGCTCGGAAACAACGTCTTCCCAGCCATCCCAGACCTGCTAGACATTTACGAGTCACCGCGAGTTCGTGGCGCCATCGTGTCTCGGATGGCATCACGACTTATACCGACGAGAGCTCCTGGTACCACCTATCTAATCTAAAGCCCAAACCATCCTAAACTGTGAGGGTCAAAGCCATCCCAGAGCCAAGCCTCATTACACAAGGTTTTTGGACGCTGAAGACCCGCGGCCTCTCACAAGACCGTCGGGCTGGGCTTTAGGGCCCGACACTTCCCTGTTGGTTTAGGGCTTTAGGGCTTTAGGGTTTAGGGTTTGGGGGTTTTAGGGTTTAGGCGAATAGGGTAAGCAATGCAGGTTCAGGTGAATGGGCTAGCGGAAGCCTGTCGGTTCCACGAAAAGTCTCAGGCGTAGGGCCTTAGGGTTTCGGGCCGAAACACCCTAAACCCTAAAGGCCTTGAGTAAGGCAGAAGGAAAAGAGGCTTCAACACAAAAAGCAAAACACAACACGGGTTAAGTGTTTGGTGTTGTTTTTAAGACCGGCACCCTCGCAGTTTTTAGACGGAAGCCCAGGAGAGCCTTCTCGGGCCGGGATATCTTCTGCATCCGATGCTCATCCGCAAAGATGCCCGGGGTGGCCCCCGACCCCTCGTTGAGCACAGGGGCCTGGATAGGTACGCTTTTTAAACTCTTTACGAGCTTTTAAAGCTGTAAATACGATTCCCTAAGTTTTCCGTGGTACAAGTAAAAGCATACATACTGTATGCAAATTAATTATGAGGTTCTGACCGGAATATCAAGGTGTTGGAGGTGAAGTTGAGGGTTCAGGACTGAAGCCTAAGGCTTAGAAGGAGGGTCTCAGAGGTAGCTCTTGCGGTCTATATGAGTTCTTTAAGTTTCTCGGGTTAGTTTGTTCTTCAGGATTTAAGTTCAGGGTCTTGAGTTCTGAGGTTCGTGTTGGCTCGAAAGGTTTTGTGCGCGTCTGGGGCTTCAGTGTTCGGCCGGCCTGGCTGTTTCAGGAGAGTTGGGATCGTGGCAACCCGGCATTTTTTCTTCTGCCCAAAGACGAAATCCCAAACTGCGTTGTGTTGAAGAGTGCCTTTGGGAATAGTGTAGAACGCGGCCTTTGTAAAAATTGATTCATCGGACAGCTGCACAGTATATTTCTCTCCGGCGAACACGTCTCCAAGATTTCTTGGTATTTATGTTTTGTTTTTGTAAGGTTACCTGCCCCGCATGATTTTCCATACCACGAGAAGTCACCGGTTTGATGCTAAGAGATGAAGCAGGGGAATGACGGTTGTCCCGAAACCTCTCTGCACGATTTTCGGCACTTATCATTTACCATCCCCTTCCTCGGTCAAGTCTTCAGGCACAGATACTGCCACACGAGCGAGCGACCGACGCCGCAAACGTGGCACCGAGACTCGTTCTGGGGGCCACCTGGCTGAATGATAGAAGGCCTTGAAATCTTTTACCGGGCAGTGTATTGCAGTATACTACATTTGTCAACCCAGTCCTTGCTGACACATGAAGCAGACTTCGCTGGCAGTCATGACCGCTTTTTGTGCGACTTTCCAGTTGGAGCAAGAGCGGTTGAATCAGATGTGCGCAGGGCTGTCAATGCAAGCGTGCTCGTCTCTTCTTTCTGACGGGTTGAATTGCCGATCTCGTACTGTACTTAAAGATCGTGCAGTCGAGGATCTGCGAGGTAGGTTCTATGTTTAGAGTTTGGGGGTTGGGGTTTAGGACTGGGCTTTGCCACGTATTTCCGAACTCTGGAGTCCTGACAGCAGTTGGAGGCCCGAGTCCATGAGTGAGAATGTCGGCCCTTGCACTAGGCATTGGCATCCGCGCAATGCGTGCCCTTATTGGATCATGGCGCTCTACTTTCCTCAGGCGGGCTTCTTGCTCCCGAATCCGGGTACGGCTTTTTTTACATAAAATTAAGTATGCCCTTGCAGCAAAGTTTCGGGGTGCACTGCAATTTAGACTCCCGACCAATGATGCCCCTTTCTTGGAAGGCCTTACGCCAAATGCTGCGGATCCCGAAGTAATCATTTTTCTTAACGGACGGGCGTTCATGTGCCGAGGGCCTACCTCAAAACACTAGAACCACTAGAACCCTCAGAAGAAAACTTTAGATTAAAACCTGCATAAGACCCGACGAAGGACACTTTTGGGGCCTAAATCTCTAACCGTAAACCCCAAACCCCAACACCCTGAAGGCCAAACCCTACCCCAAAACCCCACATGCCCCAACCTTCCGTCTACATAACCAGATACTCTGCAGGACACGCCCCTGGAGCTCGGGCCAACCGAGATCCTCCCACGGAGCCAGCGTGGGGCTCAGGAGTTGGGGATGCCGGGGCTTCGGATCCTGGGTTCGGGGCTAAGACAGCTTGGGTTTAGAGTTTGAGGGTTTGTTTATGCTGGCATCCATCATGTGAGATGTAAAGACAGTCTGGGTTAAGGTTGAGGAATTAATTCGAGCGGGTAGGGTTTAGGATGAAGCCTGCAGGATCCTGGGTCTAAGGTTTAGGATCCGAGGTTTAGGCTCTAAGGCTTAGGATCCATCGTTTCAGGTTAAGGATGTAGCGCTTAAGATCCTGGTGTCTAGGATCCAGGGTTGAGGGCTTGAGGTTTAGTGTCAGTGTTGAGAATACTCCAGCATGTCAGTCGTAGGCCGTGGCAGTCTGCAGTGGTGCCTAGCTTCGAGTACAGTTGCTAGGCAACTGTAGTCTGCAGTTGTGTGTGCACTGGCATGTCTTGTGTGCGCACTAGAGGAAAGCTGCATAGACATGACCATTGTAAAGCTGTACAGTACTTTGTTGATTCCTTGGTCGTCTTTGTTTGTTCAGATTGTGACTCGCCTCTTTGCTCAGCCAGAAAAGACCTTCGCTACAGGGAAGCATAGCAGACCCGTCACTTCAACAGTCAGCCTTTGGGATCCCGGCATGCAGGGTTTAGGATTTCAATGCAGGGTGTGGTTTAGGATCCAATTGTTCGGGTATTTGGGCCGTTTAGGGACTACTTGGGGCCTTAGTAATGGGAATGTGGCTTGTGGGTATTCTAGAACAAATAGAATTAGGACCCTCCGCATAGGACTGGTTCAGGCCCTTGGCCTGCATGGGGTTGTTGCCCATGCTGCTAGGAAGTTCAGGGATTTTTTTCTCATAGCAGCGGGACGCACCGTCTCTTGGGGTTCGGTGCTTTGGAGTAGGTCTTGAAAGGTGCTGCTTCCACACTCCACTTCCCTGAGATTCTCCGAGGTGGTACAACAAGGATGAGAAGAGCGATCGAGGCCACCAAATTGACTTCTGAATCTTGAGCCGACGTCCCAAAGCGGAAGGAAGCCCTGAAGCCTTTGAGCAATGCAGAAGATCCTTGAGCGACTCGCTTAAGCGCCGTCCGGCAACCTAGATCTCCAACCTTGCACCCGAAATGCATACCTTCAATGCAGCTGCCAGTTCTTGTTTGATGATCGCCATGCTTTCTCTGTTTGTGTCTCGCTCTTTCTCCCTCTTTCGCCGATTTTCTGTGAATGTAGGGATGTATGAATGCATGCATGCTCGGCTGCCTGGCTGCCTGGCTGTCGGTCTGCCTGTTTGCCTGCCTGCTGTCTGTCCGTCCGTCTGTAAGGAGATGCGTGCATGCATGCATGGATGGATGGATGGATGGATGGATGTAGGTACGTCTGAATCTCTGCGTGTGTGTGTGTGTATATATATATACATACATGTATGTACGTGCACATTCATGCGGTAAGTATACGCATATACATACATGAATACATCCATCTTACCTCTTGCTAAACTTCTTGATGTGAGCGTGTCGCTCGTGGCCAAACCACAACGTGCCGCGCGGAGTCTTCGTACATTGCCAGGCGGGAGCGAAAAAATCCTTCCATCCATGCATGCATACACCTACGTATATATGGTAACCCCCCTGCCCCGTTATGAACGAAACTTTGTCAAACAACTACATATGTGTTTTACACGTGGGGTTTTAGAGGGGGGGGGTGGGTAGCATATATATATATATGTACACACACACATACACAATAATGGTAAACGCAGAGAGCAAAACCGTTAAACTAATAGAAACTATCGTTGTTACTCTGAGTCACATGCATCCATGCTTTATACTAGTGCCTTACACAGCCAATGCTGCACAGGAATCCACTCGTGTGCGTGCAAATATGTTTGTGCAGCAATCTCCATTTTCTTCACCTTCACTTGGCACCGTCACAATCATTATTAGCACAACCGCTACTGCCATCAAGGACAACCGTAATTCACTGAATCCAGAACAGACGTATCACTGAAACAGTTACATGCCAGCAGAGCGCTTTCGTGCCACCGCTTGGTTTAAGAAGCAGCTAGTTTTGCTGTGGCCTGGCTTCAGGCCCATATGGGTGTGCTCGCTTCAGTGATCGCGAGGCAGCGGGTGCTTGTGGGTTTCGTTTTGCGATCGCCATCCGATGACAAAGGATGACGACGATGACTTATCTTAGTTTTGTTGTTCGTACGGACATGGCCGCGCCTGGCCAAGATGACATTGGCGCTAGGATCATGAATTTGTCAACTTGTGCATCACGCCTCGGCTATGATGGCTACATGCTACGGGTGGTGTCGATATTGGTGCTGTTGTCTCTGGTTGTGCATTTGGCATAGTCGCCAGGTCAGGCTTTTGAAGGGCGAGGTTCGAATTCGGAAAGTGAGCTGGCCAGTGTAGGGCCTTCCGAACAGGATGGGTAACGCAGCAACGCCTGTTGAACCGCAGAAGTTTCCGGGGCAAGCGAGGACGTTGCAGCAGCAGAGCCACTCTGCAAGACTATGGTCTGCTTCAAGCATGGAAGGATTTTTCCAGCGCTTGCATGCTGCCTGGGGTTCGGAGTGGTGGCTCCCATGTCCAGCACCTGGGTGACGTGTCCCAAGCGGGATGCCGTGCTTGGCTACTACACTGCGGCTCTGAAAGGTGCAGCGACGGGAGTAAGCTCCGACATCGAGTCACAGAGCTCCAGCTTCAGGCGCCTAGCGAAGCTCCACTACCGTGCAGTGGAACTTCGACGAAAGCGAAACTGGGATGGAGCAAGCGCTGTGTACCGAGCGGCCATTGGGCTGTACAGCACTATGCCACCAGCAAGGGAGGTGCCTTCATTCGCTGCCGCCGCATGCACATGGTTAAACTTAGCTTTGACAGAGAAGAACAACGGGCACTTCGATGCTGCAAGGCGCGTCTTCCAAGACGGCACGCGCTTTGTTCAAGAACAACTGCAAAAGGAGCTCGACGTGTGGATTGATGGACGGTTTCGAGTGCGTTCGCGAACGGCAACTCAAGCAAGTAACCGTGATGTGCAAGTGGCTTGCAAGTGGCTTGCCACTCTGCTTGTGGCGTGGGGCCTCCTGGAAACTCAGCGAGGCTATCGGGGCCGTGCGAAGGTGTTGGCCGAGCGAGCTGCAAATCTGGACGGGAGCAAAGCAAAAGTTCTTCGCTGGAAGATCGTGCAAGTCTGATCTCCCACATTGATGCCGGAAGGCAGCGGCAGAGGCAGCTGCACAGCCAGTGATGCTCCGGTCTTCCAGGGCTACCGCAAATTTTTACTGACAGCAAAAGACTTATTGAGCTGTCGCGGTGAGACGTGGAAGAATGCAGGCTTCTAAAGCCCATGCAGGCATGAGATCTGGTAATTCACAAATAAGGCTTTTTCGCCGGAAGCACTATGCATGGGTTCCGAAGGTGGTGAATTATACTTTCCGACTTGTAAAACTGTAAAGAAACAGCTGAAAACATGTTTTACTGAATTCACAGGTGGCCGTGGTCTAAAAGACCGAACTGCCGTTGAGCACAGTTTTGTGTCCATGCGGGAGGGTGTTGAGCAGGTAGCTGATGTACATGTCGACAGAATGAAGCGGGACGTCAAAGCCCACACTCCTGCATCGGCGGAAATGTGAATTGATTGCGCTTATTGCGCTTACATTCACTTCGTTTCCCAAGTTTGGAAGGCTATTGTGTCGATGAAGTGACATGAAAGTTCGGAGTTCTCATGGCTCCAATTTGTCACAACTCCGGCTCACTCACTGGACACTGGGCTTAATTCGATGCATCACCACAAAGATAGCTTGATGTTTTATATGGATTTGTCTTGGACTGGTGATGGTGGTAGACCCACTGCCCCATGTGCAAAGGGAGCCACGAACTCATCAGAGAGCATAGCTTCAGCCACAATGTCCGAAGCAGCGGGCGAACAAATACATCTGTTGAGGCAGCTACGCTTTGCAGTTGATACTGGGTCGGACCAGACCTTGAACAGTTTCGCCACCCCGTGACATGCGTCAAGTGCGTGTGGTTAGACATGAAACCATACGTATTCAATCTCTTAGTCTTAGTTATTTCAATATTAGTCACGGTCAAAAATGTGACTAACCAGGAGGCTACATTGACTTGTCTCGAAGATACCCTACACTCGAAAGCCTTGAGAAAGCAACAAAGCCTAAAATTCTAAAGCCCAAACTCTGCCTTGGCAAGGCAGCGACTGGAATCCCTGCCACGAGCTGGCACGTGCAGGGGAGGCCCTTGTGCTGCTCTGCGGGCACGGCTCCTGGCCATCAAGAAGCAATCAGCAGGATTATATCCCGGGGGCCTATCAGCGGCCTAGAATCAAGAAGTCTTAACTTGTGGCATGTTCTTTCTTTTTCCTCACCGTTATGCTTATGCTTCTTATTCATCTCGTTCTTGTGATTGGTGCTAACATTGCGAACTTGCAGCCCAAAGTCCTTAAAGATGAGGTCCTCAAGCCGACACACCACCTTTCACGTAAACTTATCTGGCTATGTTGTCTGAGGTCGTCCTTATGCACTACGACCTGTGGCACCGGGGCGGAGCCAACATCAGCAGTAATGGAATCCGTTACATGTTCAAGTTTCAGCTGCTTGGCCAGTCATTGTGGGACGCGGTGGTAGATGCTACAGGTACCAAAATCACTACCAATGCTATTCTGTATGCTTGTGTAGCTTGAACCCCGAACCTGTAGCCAGAGTAGCTGTCAATCCAGCCCGGGCGCCACGCCGCGAAGCAGTGCTGCTGAAGCCCCGGGCGACGAGGTTCAGCCGGATGCTGAGCCCTGTCGTAGCGCCGCGCCTGCGCACCGAACCCGACAAAGCCATCAACTGGGAGGAATTCTACCAGGACGCCGCAAAGCCTGCACATGCTGTGGGTTTTCATTTTGTTTCAGGCCGAGAGATCGCGAGTGATGGTGGTAAGCTCTCAGAGGTCGACATCATTTTGTCGCGCAGTGCCGTGGCGGCGCCGCCGTGAAAGTAGAAGAAGTGTAGCAGCAGCAGTACCAGCAGCAGCGATGGCAGCAGCAGCAATTGGTACTAGTAGTAGTAGCAGAAGCAGAAGCAGATTAGCAGTAGCAGTAGCAGTAGCAATAGCAGCAGCAGGAGGAGGACGAGGAGGAGGGGGAGCGTGAGAAGGGTAGTTAGTAGGAACAATAAAAGGAAGAGCAGTAGTAGTAGTAGTAGTAGTAGTAGTAGTAGTAGTAGCAGTAGCAGTAGCAGTAGCAGTAGCAGTAGCAGTAGCAGTAGCAGTAGCAGTAGCAGTAGCAGAGCAGTAGCAGTAGCAGNNCGTCGTAGTAGTCGTAGTCCTAGTAGCAGTACTTGTCGTAGTAGTAGTAGTAGTAGTAGTAGCAGCAGCAGCAGCAGCAGTAAGTAGTAGTAGTAGTAGTAGTAGTAGTAGTAGTAGTAGTAGTATCGCAGCAAGTGAGGGAGTAGCATAGTTTGTACAAATGTTCCCATGATTGCCTGGGTATCGATACAGATGCTGACTGCTGACATGGCAAGCATAAGCCTCAATGTACAGCCAAACCAAGATGCTGCCAAGTAATTACGGGAGCTGCTCCAAACGAGCATGGACTCGTCGCTGACTGGGGCTATCGGCCCGGGTGAGGCCCCCTTGCTGCTACTCATCCCGTCTGCATGTTTTTGTGCTAATGCTATAGCCGAAATCGGCTGGGTTAAAGCTGTCGAGTATAGCCGTGTCT